ACACACACACATACACATACACACACACACACATACACACACACACATACACATACACACACACACACATACACACACACACATACACATACACACACACACACATACACACACACACACACGCACACACGCACACACACGTATACATCACATTTACACTCACAACTGCACACACATACATACAAGCACAAAACACATGCATACATACACACACACACACACACACACACAGGACACACACACACACACAATTTACCCATAGAAGTACTCACAAGGACACACAAACACAAACATACACTCAGATTCTACTCCAAAGGCAAAAAAGGGGGCAAAATGAAATGCACGCTCTAAAGGGGAGAAAGAAATCTAGTTTATCTACAAAACAAAACTGCTATGAACAGAAAAACAACCAATGAGGCGAAATTTAAGGCTGGCATACTCTATGGCACCATAAAACTTATTTCTGCGTCCTTCAGGATCTCTTATTATGTGACGTATTCATCTTTCACAAATGGTTCGTCCGGGTATTGTAAATTCTTGTGCCGCTTTCGAAATCATGCCTGGCTGCAGCAGAATGCAAAAAAGTGGCTGCTTTATGTTTCCAAAACTGTATTGAGCAGGATGTAATATTCCCAATCCTAAGTAATGACCGAGAAATTATTGCTTGAGACCGTACTTTTTCGACGCGGGGAGAAGAATGAGAGGGATGCTTTTATGCTCTTTACTCATCCAGCAAAATGGGTTAAGGGTTTTCTTCTCCCTGTGTAGATGAGAAAGCTATTTTTTACTTTGACGAGAAGAAAAAGAGGGCGAATTGGATTAATGAACAAGATTGGCTAAACTTTACTTTCTCTGTAGAGCTGCAAATTACAGGCACTTTCGATTTCTGGGAAGATCTGACCATCGTTGTCTGTTTTTATGCGTAACAGTAAACGGACGTCTTAGGCCACATTCGTGGCCTGTGTCTTAACTTAAAGTGTCTCTGAAACATAACGCCACCCAGACCAATTACGTTTAGTGGTTTACAGAGGCTCACTAACGCAGTTGCTATTTAGCCGTCTTATTTTATTTGCCTGACACTTTTCAGCTCTATTTTTTAAAACCTTATTCTTTATTCTTGTTCTTTTTTACCGTATAGCAAAAACTGTTATACTCTCTCTTCTTCCGCTTCAGAAAAAGGTTTTTATGAGTGTACATGCTCATGTCTGTATGGTCTATTTACTTTTGTTGACTTTGTTCATTTGTTTGTATTGGCATCGTTTCTTTCTGTTGGTGTTACTGAAGGAGTTCTGTCGATGGTATGGGCTTTTTCAGTGAGTCAAGTTATTTTTCTAGTTATTGTTTTTTTAAATAACTATTGTCTGTTCTTATTGCTCCTGCTACTGTCAGGATATGTCTATTTGTATATGTTTTCCCCATAAAACTGGCATGGACATCGTCAGCTAAAATTAGAAGGGTTTTGTAAACGTCATCTTCAAAGAGCAAATAATCACGTCTAACATTTCATCTCAATGACAAACAAAATCTGACTTGGTTGTTGTAGTGTTTTTGTTTTTGTCATGGTATTATGTTTTCTGTTTTCTTGTTGTTTTATGGATGTTATTTATTTATTGTTTTGTTGCTGTTGTTGTTGTCGATGTAAACTCGAAGTCAGTGTTTCCTGTGTATTCCAAAACGAAATCTCTAACTTACCCATGAAGCTGTGACAAGATTAAAATGAAACTGCTAAAACTTAACGAGTTATATCAGTTGCTGGAGTATATCACTGGTGAGTCTCGAATTTCCAGCGCCATTGTTTCTTCTGTCTGTCGTCTGTATCTCCCCAAAAAACTATGCTATAGATATTGTTGGTGTGGTGCCTTCTCTTTACTATTGACATAATCATACCTACTTTAGGTAGCAACGAAGAAACCCACCATAAAATGACAATAAAGGAAATTAATACTAGAGTCTAAAAAGGCATTCAAACAAGAACCACGCCCTCAAAATAAGCGAAACCAAGATCACGTTTGTGGAAATCATTTCCGAGCAAAAAGAAAAGAAGGCAGCATTAGAGGTCAAAATGAATATATGAAGGTGGTGAGACAAAACCAACTTTCTCAAGTATGTAACTCAAACGCAATTGGTCGCTTCAGGGACTTCGAAAAACACACCACGCAAAGGACAGTTAAAAGAAATAAAACTTAAATAATACATCAGCACACACTGAATTTGCAACTTAATTACGGATGGAAAGATTAACAAAGTCCTTTTTCAACTGAATTAATAAATTATTATTCATACTTATGAGCGACACACGGAGAAATTCAATTATTCCAACCGTTTCTAGTTCAATCAAATTCAATGACCTAAACAAAACAGAGGAAAACAATATAATCTGACCAACGTCGTTGAAATCTGTGACCACAAAAATTCGATGAGCAGGGTGGAGAACTAAAAAAGAAGAGGTGACGTTCAGCAAACTCAGTTAAGCAAATAAGCAGAACAACAGCTAAACGCTGTCGGTGCCGTGGTGAAACAGACATATGGCGATGATAGCTCTCAAACGTTTTGCAACTGTTATGTTGTCTAGAGGACATTTGAATCTTGCTTTTTCTCTTTGCTGTAGAACTTAGTAAAACGTTGTTTGTGCTGTTTCACCACGGCTGCGTCAATGAACTAATAAGAAATGTATGCATGAGAGTTTAAGTCTTACGTTCATAAAGGGTTTAATTAATTAACGTATCATTACTTCGAACTCTAAAACACTTTTGTGATGTTTTAACTTGAACGCCTTTACTATAGACATGCAAAAGAATTCGTTGTTCGACCTTCCTAATCATAACCCTTTTATGTGTGTGTATTCCTTAAACTCTCTGTTCTATAAACAACACAGCAGGTAGGAGATTATTATAGTGAATGACACTACATACTTGTTTTGAGTACGTTGACCCGAGTATCGATGACGTCTTTGTTGCTGGTGCGACACACGTAGACCCCTGCGTCACTGATCTTGACCTTCCGGATCTCTAACGTGCTGTGGATGGTACCTGTGCTCAGAGAGACATGCTTCTGAATGTACAGGCCGCGCTCATCGTCCGTGAACAGAGTGTCGCCGGCCCTGTTTTGGGGGGAAGGGTGGGGTTGTTGGGGGATGGAGGAGGGAATGGATGTGGGGATGGGGATGGGGGTGGGGGTGGAGAGACAAAAAGACAAACGTGTTTGGTGTTGCTTTATGCAAGTAAACGCCCTGCAAGTCATACGCGGGTCAATTCGAAGGTTCAGCGGTTAGAGTACGAAAACAGGAAAGAGTTAAAGAATGCACCAGTCGACCTTCAGCCGTACATAGCACGTGACTGTCTTAAACTGTTTGGCTAGGAAGGGTTTCGGGTTGGGAGGGGGGGGATTTTTTTGTTTTGTTTGTTCTAGTAGAGGTTTTACGGCGCTCGCAACTGCATAGGGT